GGGATTTGCTGTCCTGACCAGCTGTTGAGTTCCACCCTGCCCCATCTGCCCTGCTAGGTTCCAGTCCCTGCCCCCACCCCCTTCTTAGAAGGAATAGTAACAGTGAGGGCTCAGGCATGCGTGTGTGTGTGTGTGTGTGTGTGTGTGTGTGCGCGCATTGTTAGAAGAAGGTACAGTCACCACAGTGTAGACAGAGTTTCCATCTGGGCCTGTGGGCTGAGACAGCTGACCCTGATCCCTGACCTCTGCCCTCAGGAGACCTGCCAGTACCTCAAGGATTACCTGACTCGGTTGCTGGTACCCTACGTCGTCAATGTGTCCTGGGCTGCCCAGTATTGCAGCTGGGCCCAGTGCCATGGCCACGGGCGCTGTGTGCGCCGTGACCCCAGTGCTAATACCTTCCTGCACCTCAGTGCCAGCAGCTTCCGCCTAGTGCCTAGCCATGCACCTGGTGAGCCGCAGCTGCGACCAGAGGGGGAACTCAGTTGGGCCGACCGCAACCACCTGCAGACGCACTTTCGCTGCCAGTGCTACTTAGGCTGGGGCGGCGAGCAATGCCAGTGGGACCGCAGGCGGGCAGCTGGGGGTGCCAGTGAGGCCTGGTCTGGGTCCCACCTCACCAGCCTGCTGGCTGTGGCCGCCCTGGCCCTCACCTGGACTTTATAAGGGTCTCTCACGCAGCTGCCAGGCAAGCTGGCCTCTGCCACAAGGGCTCTGCCAGGCATGTAGGAGCCCACAAGGGGTGGACAAACCAGAGTCTGAAGGGGCAGAGCCCCCTGGGATGCCCAGTAGGGTGTCTGTGCCAGCTCCCACCCCCTGTTCTAAGGGGGAGGGACAGTCCCGTGGGAGGCCCCTTCTCTCCCTGCCAGAGAGGAAGAGGGGCACAGCTGGGCCGGGGAGGACCTGACCCTACTCCCCTGCCCCTGAATAGTTTATTATTATTATTTTGGGGTCTCTTTTGTAAATTAAATATGAAACAACTGCTTCTTTGCTTGGACTGTCTGTGCCTGGGCCAGGGCACGTGAGAGAGATTTCAGGGTCTTCCATATAAGGTTTGAGCTCAGTTCTGTCTCTGTGAGACTCTCTGCTGGGGACTTCTCATCTGTAAAATGCATTCACTGGGATCTGCAGGCCAGAGCTTCCCACTCTAGCTGTCCTGCTAGGGCAGGGGCCACTGGGAGTGAAGGGACTCACAGTCTACCCCAACACCAAGGACCTTGCTTTATCCATATTGATTGGAAAGCAGTTGGGTACAACCTTCTGTGAGGGACGGGGCTCATTGTGCTTCTCCTACTTGGTACAGTATCGCCAGCTGGTCTGGTGCCAGTTGCCTTGCCTTGCCCACCCAAGGAGAAAGGGGAAAGCGGATGTTTGATCTTCCCTGGCTGGGCAGGTAGCCAGATCACTCCTCCCTGCTGTTCTCACAGGCAAGGGCGTCTCCTCCACTCCCCAGTCCCAAGGACAGTGGACTTCAGCTACACGCACTTCTCCCCATCTGGCTCAGAGTCCTCCACTGGGTATGGTCAGGGGAAGGCAAGCAGGGCATTGGGATCTGAATCATGAGGTCCAGTCCCTGTCCCACTGCAGAGATGCATGATGGGGTGAGGGGGAGGCATCCTCAACAGTCAGCCCTGTAATGGCCATGGGAGAGCATAGCTTGTCCCCAGCTGTCCCAGGGGAGAGAAGTAGCAGCCAGAGCCGTCATACCAGCTCTGACCTGCTTCATTCACTTCCTCTGCTTCTGAAGTGAGTTATTCTGGGTGGGGCCCTGCCCCTCCCCTCAGCCATTGGACCCACACCTGGATTCCTCCTGTCCCTATCAGTGATGACTGATCCCCTGCCCTCAGATAATACTGGCTCAAGATGTACTCAAGAAACTGTCGAGCAGTGAGGAGGGCACCCCAGCCACAAGGACTCGGGAAGTAGCCTCAAGGAAGTGCTTTCTACATTGAGGTTGGGTTGGTTGTTTTTTGGGGTGGCGGGGGGGCGCACCATGCACGGCACATGGGATCTTAGTTCCCCGACTAGGGATCAAACCACTGCCCCCTGCAGTGGGAGCACGGTTTCCTAACTCCTGGACTGCCAGGGAAGTCCCTACATTGAGAGTCCCTACACTGAGTTTTGAAAGGTGGGGGGGATAACTTGATGCTGGGAACAAAGCATGGGCAAAGGCTGGAGGAAGACAGAACACAAATGGAGACAGAGTTTGAGGCTAGGGTGTGACAGAGGGGTATGCTGCAGATGGCCCTAGAGTGACACCAGGCCTGATTTTGTCTGATGATGGTGACTATCTTACCTGTTCAGTGAACACACTGAGCACACACATGTGCCAGGGCTGGGCTGGGTGCTGGGGATGCACCCATGAACCACACCAGCAAAGACTGCCATCCTCAGGGGTATGACGGCATAAAGGGAGATGCACTTTGTTTGTTTTGTTTTTTTTGTTTTTGCGGTACGCGGGCCTCTCACTGCCGCAGCCTCTCCCGCTGCGGAGCACAGGCTCCGGACGCGCAGGCTCAGCGGCCATGGCTCACTGGCCCAGCCGCTCCGCAGCATGTGGGATCCTCCCGGACCGGGGCACGAACCCGCGTCCCCCGCATTGGCAGACGGACTGTCAACCACTGCGCCACCAGGGAAGCCCGGGAGATGCACTTTGGATGCCAAGGCCAAGTCAGATGTTGGACAGTGGAGAGTGCTCCCCAGAGGCATGCAGGCAAGGGGATTGTGTGGTTAGAGCCTGGAGAAGCAATCCTCACCAAATCGATATTGATTCAGGTTGTAAAGTGATCCTTCATCCCTCTGGCTGCTGATGGCAGAGAATAGAGAGGAGGTGGGGTGGTAGCACTGGGATGGAGATGTCAAATCACATGGTGGGGGTAGGGGAGGGGTCCTGGCTGCTTGTGACCAAGGTGGGGAGAGGCCGGCTGGAGAGAAGATTCAGGTGTCGATCAATAAGGCCATAAGATGATGGAGCCAGCAGAGGGAGGGCAAGGAAGGAGGAGCTGTGACCTATCTCCCCAACACCTGTGACTTCCCCTACCCAACCGTGACCCCACACACAGCTGTGACCTCCCATACACAGATGTGACCCATGCATACCTGTTAGCTACCCTGCCCACATCTGTAACCTGCCAACACACAGGTTATCCAGACATACCTGTGACCTGACCCACGCAGCTGTGACCTGGCTATGAGCTCAGGTTCAGACTGGGCTGTTCAGTGCTTTCACCGGGGCCAGGAACGTGATGTTTCCTTAACGCCACTCTGGCAGGCAAGCCTGGGCCTGAGCACCTAGCAGGTCTCAGTTGCTAGCGTCTGAATCAGCAAACAAGCAAAATCATGAAGGAATGAACAAGCGCGTCATCACTGATACACTCATGCTCATACCCGGGGTCACACAAACATGAGGTCTCATGGTCATAAAACAGGGTCTCACACACACCAAGTCCCAGGCACTGGGTCCCACACTTGCACATACACACTACTGGAGTTTGTGGAGAGTCCCAAATGTCCACTAACTGGAGCTTTACACAGACAGTCACTGATCCAGCACATAATCAAAGGGTGACAACGCAGCCCTGACTTCAGGAACACAGTTCCTTTCAGACACAGGTCCCTAAAGGGGGGATGATTTACCCACTAGGCACTGTAGGCACAGGGCCACAATACTTATACGGGCCCACAAAAATGTTTTAATTTTTTTTTTTTTTTTTTTTTTTCTTTGTAGTATACTCAAAAGTCAGGGAGTGGGATACCTCCAGCTTTGTTCTTTTTTCTCAGGATTGTTTTGCCCATTCAGGGTATTTTGTGGTTCCATATAAATTTTAGGGTTATTCTAGTTCTATGAAAAATATCCTGGGTATTTTGATAGGGATTGCATCAAATCTGTAGATTGCTTTTGATAGCATGGACATTTTAACGATATTAATTCACCCAGTCCATGAACATGGGATATCTTTCCATTTATTGTATTGTCCTCAATTTTCTTCATCAGTGTCTTATAATTTTCAGAGTATAGGTCTTTCCCCTCCTTGGTTAAGTTTATTCCAAGGTACTTTATTCTTTTTGATGTGATTTTTTTTTTTTTTGTGGTACGCGGGCCTCTCACTGCTGTGGCCTCTCCCGTTGTGGAGCACAGGCTCCGGACGCGCAGGCCCAGTGGCCATGGCTCACGGGCCCAGCCGCTCCGCGGCATGTGGGAATCTTCCCGGACCGGGGCACGAACCCGTTTCCCCTGCATCGGCAGGCGGACTCTCAACCACTGCGCCACCAGGGAAGCCCCAAAAATGTTTTAATTTTAATCTTTTTTAATCAGAAGAAAAAATACAGGAATAATGAATATAAAATAATGAATTCAGTCGGATTATATCTGTCCTTATGCCAATATAGTCGTAAAATATATTTTTTTAAAAATATGTATTTTTTTGGCCGCGCAGCATGTGGGATCTTAGTTCCCCAACCAGTCCCCAACCAGGGATCGAACCCGTGTCCCCTGTAGTGGAAGCACAGAGTCCTAACCATTCCCTTAAAATGTTTTTTTCAGGAATGGGCCCACAAAGGTGAAAGTGCCTAGGGCCCATAGGTGTCATAATGCAACCATGTGGGGAAGGCACCCAGACTCCAGTATCACACACAGGGCTGCCCAGTCGGATCTGCCACCCAGATGGCCCCCATGCACTGCCTCCAACCCCACACCATCCCAAAGTCCACAAAGCCACAAAGTCCAGGCCCAGTGCTGACAGAGTGGGAGGGGCCACTTCCGGCCTAGCCCCACCTCCTACCAAGGGCACTTTGCTAGGAGTGCAGAGGTGGTTCTGCTGTCTGGCCCAGCCCTCTAACCCAGGGCCCGCCCCTCAACCCGCCCCCAGACTGGGTGGGGTGACCCCTACAAAAGCTCAGGGTTTCCAGCAGCGGCTTCTTCCTCCAAGAGTCTCCGTGCAGCTGAGGCCAGAGTTAAGGAACAGAATCTTGCTGAGCTCTGCATAGGCCCTCACCCTGAAGTCAGGAAGTTTGGAGAATAAGGCCTTTCAGCCCTGAGGTCAGCAGGGACAAGTGGGCAGCTGGGCGAGTGTACAGGAGGGCTGGGCTGACCTTTCCTGCGTCACTGAGCATCCCCTCCTGCATGGGTGGCCAGGATTCCTGGGGGAAGCCCCCGCCTCCATCAGTTGGCCAGCCTGGGGGCTGAGGGCCTGGCTCTCAGCCACTCTTCTCAAGACAGATGTCATGGCTTCTGTGGCCCTTGGGGAAAGGGGGTGGGCAAGCCAGGACAAGACCTCTGGGAGACAGAGGGCAGAGGTCGGCCCAAGAGGCAACTCGGATGTGCCCTCTAGTGGCCGTGTTCCCCTCAATGCCTCTCCTTTGCCCTCTGACTTCCCTGAACCCTGCAGGTCAATATTTACCTGAAGCCAGAACAGAGGTGGATTAATAAGGGGCTTGGCCTGCCTGCCCTCAGTAGGGGTCAGAGAGTTCAAGGCCTGCTTTCATCTCTGCTTCCCCTGGCCAGGTTTCTCTAGACCTGCCCTGTGCCATGGCAGCCCACCTGCTTCCCATCTGCACCCTCTTCCTGAACTTGCTCGGCATGGCCAAAGGCTCCAGGGACCCCGTGGTACCCAACCGGCCCTTTGCCACCATCTGGAATGCAAACACCCAGTGGTGTCTAGAGAGGCATGGCGTGGACGTGGATGTCAGTGTCTTTGATGTGGTGGCCAACCCGGGGCAGACCTTCCGCGGCCCTGACATGACCATTTTCTACAGCTCCCAGCTGGGTACCTACCCTTACTACACACCTGCTGGGGAGCCCGTATTTGGTGGCCTGCCCCAGAATGCCAGCCTGGCTGTCCACCTGGTCCGCTCATACCAGGACATCCTGGCTGCCATGCCTGCATCCAACTTCTCAGGGCTGGCAGTTATTGACTGGGAGGCATGGCGCCCACGCTGGGCCTTCAACTGGGACACCAAGGACATTTACCGGCAGCGCTCACGGGCACTGGTACAGGGGCAGCACCCTGACTGGCCAGCTCCTTGGGTGGAGGCAGCAGCTCAGGACCAGTTCGAGAGGGCTGCGCAGGCCTGGATGGCAGGCACCCTCAGGCTGGGACAAGCACTGCAGCCTCGTGGCCTCTGGGGCTTCTATGGCTTCCCTGATTGCTATAACTATGACTTTAAAAATCCCAACTACACCGGCCAGTGCCCACCAGGCATCTGTGCCCAGAATGACCAGCTGGGGTGGCTGTGGGGCCAGAGCCGTGCCCTCTACCCCAGCATCTACCTGCCCGCAGCACTGGAGGGCACGAAGAAGGCACGGATGTTTGTGCAGCACCGTGTGGGTGAGGCATTCCGTTTGGCCGTGGGTGCAGGGTACCCTGATCTGCCAGTGCTGCCCTACGTCCAGATCTTCTACGACATGACTAACCGCTTTCTGCCCCTGGTGAGTCTCCTGTGACCCCGCCCACCTTGTAACCTACATTGTCAGGCATTAGTCCAGTAAGTGAGGCCACATAGCCCTGGGGCACTTTAGCCTTGGGGCACTTTCATCCATTCCCTCTCACATTCTTTGAGCACCTACTGTGTGCCAAGTTCTGTGCTAGGCACAGACAATTCAGCATTCTTCAGAAAGAAATCATCCCTGCCTGCATGGCTCTCACAGGCTAGAGTAAGGACAGGCTTGCCTCTGGCCACCACAGCTAGAGCAGGCTATGAATTATTTGTCCCATGCAATAGTGTTACAGCAGTCTGCTGTGGGGACGGAGGGAGGCCCCACAGAGCTATGCTGTCCTTTCCCCAGGAGGAGCTGGAGCACAGCCTGGGGGAGAGTGCAGCCCAGGGGGCAGCAGGAGTGGTGCTTTGGGTGAGCTGGGAGAACACAAGAACCAAGGTGAGCTCAAGCCCAGGATGGGGGTGAGGGTGGGGGCAGGAGTGGGGCTGCCAGGCTGACTGGGGAGACCCTGGCCCACCCTTTACCCCTGCAGTCCTGGCTGACCAGCAGGTGAGTGCCTCAATGCCCTAGGTGGACCCGTGCATGGCCGTGGTGTCCTGACCCTCCCCCTCCCACCTAGGAATCCTGTCAGGCCATCAAGGAGTATGTTGACACGACACTGGGGCCCTTCATCCTGAATGTGACCAGTGGGGCTTTTCTGTGCAGTCAAGCCCTGTGCTCTGGCCATGGCCGTTGTGCTCGGCGCCCCAGTCACCCCGAGGCCCGCCTCATCCTCAGCCCCACCAGTTTCTCCATCGAGTCCACGCCTGGTGGTGGGCCTCTGACCCTCCGAGGTGCCCTCTCACTCGAGGATCGGTTGCGGATGGCTGTGGAGTTCAAATGTCGCTGCTACCGTGGGTGGACGGGAACATGGTGTGAGCAGTGAGTGGGGCATGTGGTGATTGGCACATGCACACATTGAGTACCTAATGCAATCTGGACCCGGCTACAGCTTTCTCAAGTACAGGCACAGTCACATGAGTCATGGTCACAGTCAGAAGTACACTCAGGCACTGTCATGAGCATATGCCAGCCCATTCACACCTGCTTACAGACCAAGATAGTTGCATAAGGAGTTAGAGCCTTGGGCACCCACCCAGCAGAGTTAAAAATATTTCCTCCAGAGACATTGAGCCAGTCTTTAAACTGCAGCAATCACAAGAACTGACGCTCTGGACTTCCCTGGCAGTCCAGTGGTTAAGACTCCGCGCTTCTACTGCAGGGGGCGGGGGTTCGATCCCTGGTCAGGGAACTAAGATCCCGCATCCCGCGTCCCCTGCATCGGCAGGCGGATTCTCAACCACTGCACCACCAGGGAAGCCCATATAGCCATATATTTTTAAATGTTCAAAAAGAGATCCATTTGAAGAAAATGAGATGGGGGGAGGGATAAATTAGGAGTTAAGGATTAACAGATACACACTACTATATATAAAATAGATAAACAACAAGGACCTACTCTATAACACAGGGAACTATATTCAACTTATTGTAATAACCTATAATGGAAAAGAATCTGAAAAGTAATTCATGTACACCCAAAACCAACACAGCATTGTAAATCAACTATACTTCAGTTGTGTGAAATAAACCTAAAACAGGGATGGAAAGAAGGAAAGAAGGAAGGAAGGGAGGGAGGGAGGGAGGGAGGGAGGGAGAAAGAAAGAGCTGACATTCACTGGGTGCCTACTTTTTCCGAGTCCTATGCTAGGCATTTTAAGTAGTCTAACTTAATTGTGCAATCCTAACAAGACGCTATGAGGAAACTGAGGCACACACAGGGAGGGTAAGCACTTTACCCAAGGTTGCAGACAGAAAATAGAGCAGCTGAGATTCAAACCCAGGTGAATCTGGGTTTGAATCTCTACCCTCTACCTCTACCTCTATAGCGATGGAGCCCTTTGGCTCCTACTATATGTCGACGGTAATCAGCCCTGCACTGCAGCCTGAATCCGTTCAGAGGTAACAGCCTCACAAATAAAGCAGACATGATTCTAACTTCAAGAACTGTTTATTGAGCACCTAAAACGTGCAGGCGCTGGGATCCAGAGGGCATAGGAAAATTCTTTTCTCTTGCTCAGATTTGATGTCTGTCCGAGGGCGGCTGCTTCTCAGGGTTGGGCCCAAATTTCGGGAGGAAGCTCCACCTGACCGTTTCCACGCTGGGCAGGAGGCTGATGTGAGCCGAGACAAAGCTGAACTGGGGGGAGACCTATCTGAGTCTGGGGCGGGGCGAGGCGGGGCGAGATGGAAGCCCAGCCCACCCGTAATGGAGCTGGTGCTCGGTTCGCGCTCACTGGGAGCTGGGCCGGGATAAGCAAGGGCGGGAGGGTCAGAGGTAGAACCAGGGCAGAGATCCAGTCTGCGTCGGGTCGGTGTTATGACGCGAGGGGCCGGGTCCGGGGGCTGGCCGCCCCGAAGACCTGAGACCTGGTGGTGTGCCGCGGGCCGTGACGGCTGCAGTGCGTCCGCCTCACCGCTAGGGGGCGAGCGCCGGGGGCCGGAGGAGTCCGAGCCAGAGACAGCGAGATACAGATCCGTGTGGAGCGAGGACACGGAGCGTCCCGGAGCCAGGCGTCAGCATGTCAGTACCACCCCCTCCCCATGCGCGGCGTATTCGTCCTCATTGTCCCCCGCTCTCCCCGTCCGCTCCGCGCGTACTGTTCTCAAGTGACTAAGCCGCCCCGCACGCCCTCTTTGCGTCTGCCGTTCCCTCCCAGAGCATGCCGAGCCACAGCCGCCCAGAGTCAAGCTCCCGAAGCCCCCACCCCCAAACTCCACGGTTTGTCACCCAGTGGGAGGAAGGGGGAAACCGAGGCAGGAGAGACTGCCGCCTCTCTCCGTGGACCCGGGAGCCCCACCCACAGTGGGTGGGGTCGGCACAGAAAGGGTTAAGCCTGAGGGGGAAGTCTGGGGCTCCAGGCTCAGGGGCGGATCCTGGGGTTTCCTCTCTCCTGGTCCAGGGGTGCAGCTGCTGCGGAGGTGGCTGATGCAGGTGAGGGGCTTATAGCCCTCTGAGTGGGATGTGGTATGAGGGGAGGGGGCTACCTGTTACTGATCAGTGTGGAATTGGCCTCAAGCTCACAGGGCCTTCCTGTGGAGGTGGGGAAGGGGAGCCAGGGCATCCTCTCTGGAACAGGTGAGTAGAAGGGTGGGGCCCAGCGGCCACCTATCGCTAGAAATCCCCCAGCATTGACCCTTCTGCCAGCAGAGCCTGGGGTAGGATGGGCACACAATGGAGTTCGGGGTCAGGAGGTCTGAGCCCCCAACCTGGTAGCCGTTGGACACCCCTGTGGATGTAGGAAGGAAGCTGTGGTTCTTATCTAGCTAGGGTGGCTACGAAACAGGCCAGTGGGGAACCAGGCCTGCAGGAGCCACATTGCTGTGTGAGCCGGGCCCTTTCTGAGGGGCAGTTGGGTCCATGCCCAGTCAAAGTGTCATGAGCTGGGTAGTGTTGGGGAGGGAGCCAGGGACTCTGCCCCTGGTAGGGAAGGCAGTCCAGGGAGGGGAAATTTGAGCCTGATGGGTGGGTGAATGGCACCCCAATATCGGTTAGGTGGCAGGCATGGCCCAGGTGGTCAAAAAGGCTGGGACCTGGAGTAGGGAGAAGGGTGGGACAGGGGAGTTCCTAGGGAAACTGTGTTCCCTCCGAAGGGAATACAGCGTTTAAGCAGGGGGTCGTGGTGTCTAGTTTGTATGCTCTGTCTGATGGCCAGCCAGCTGCAATGGTTGTAGGGCTGGATCTACTCTCCTGGGGAGGACAAAGCAGTAGTCAGAGCAGGCTGGGGCCTGGAGTCTTGATTTCTGCCCTAGCCTGTAGCCCTCAGCCTCCATCCAGTGTAAGGCAGAGCACCCAGGATCCATCCCTTCTGCTCTCCACCTGAGTCAGGTCCCCCAGATATAGGGGATGGGATCCTTCAGGTCACCTGTGCCATCAGGTGAGTATGGGGACAAGGTGCAGCCCACCAGTTCCAGGATGCGTGGCCCTCCTTAGCACTCTGTCAGCCACTCCCTGCCTCAGCCCCATCCTCCCTTCTGGCACAGCCCAGCATGGCTGTTGTCCACAGAAGGAGCACCCTTCTGGTCTCAGGAGATACCACTGCCTGGAGACTGTGGCCTTAACCCCCAGCCTGGCACTGAGCCACCTGGAACCCAGCAGGAGATGACCTTGGCTCCCAGCCTGGCAGCTGAGCCTGGATCCCACATGTAGGCAAGAGCTGACTCTGAGCCCTGGTCCAGCCAAGCTGACTCCTACCCTAGACCCTATACACCAGGTGGCGATGATCCTGAGTACCACTCCAGCCTAACTGACTCTGGATCCTGCATGCCAGCCAGAGGTGACCCTGAGATCCAACCTGGCCAAGCTGATCCTGGATCCTACACACAAGCCAGATCTGACCCTGAGCCCCAGGCTAGCTGAGTTGACCCTGGGTTCTGCATGCCATCCAGAGATGACCCTCAGTCCTGGCTCAACTGAGCTGACCCTGGATCCCGCACGCCAGCCAGAGGAGACCCCAGCCCCCAACCTGGCTGAGCTGACCCTGGAGCCTGTGCACTGCCGACCTGAGCTCCTGGATGCCTGTGCCGACCTCATCAATGAGCAGTGGCCCCGCAGCCGCGCCTCCCGCCTGCACTCCTTGGGCCAGTCCTCAGATGCCTTCCCCCTCTGCTTGATGCTGCTGAGCCGCCGTCCCACGCCAGAGGCAGACCCCATTGTGGTGGGCCATGCCCGCCTGTCACGGGTGCTGGACCGGCCCCAGAGCCTCCTAGTGGAGACGGTGGTGGTGGCCCGAGCCTTGAGGGGCCGTGGCTTTGGCCGCTGCCTCATGGAGGGCCTTGAAGCCTTTGCTCAGGCCCGGGGCTTCCGCCGGCTACACCTCACCACCCATGACCAGCTGCACTTTTACGCCCACCTGGGCTACCAGCTGGGTGAGCCTGTGCAGGGCCTGGTCTTCACCAGTCGGTGGCTGCCTGCCACCCTGCTCAGTGCCTTCCCCAGGGCCTCCTTTCCCTGGCCACCCTGCAGGGCCCCTAGCCTGACTGCCCAAGCTGCCCCAAGAGCCCCCAGGGGGTCATCATTGCCGCCACCCCCACCCCTGCCTGAGCCCTTGACCACCCTACCCCCACCTCCAGGAGGGCCCCCTCCACAAAGCCTGCTGGAGACTCAATACCAAGACCTGAGAAGACGCCCCATATTCTGGATGGAGAAAGACATCTGAGGGCTACCCAGGGCAAGATGCTGTCTTTCTGGGTCAGTTGACTGCCCAGGACAGTACCAGCCTCAGCCCACTGGCCATCCCTCAGCTTCTATCCCTCGAGGGCAGCTTCAGCCTAGGCATGTTTCCTGAGTGCCAGTGGAGATGGTGCCATGGCTGTGGCTCAGAGCTCTCAGTGTGGCTGAATAAAGGCTTCTGTTGGGTGTGGTTGTGACAGTGTATTTGTTGACCCCCACCCTCATCTCCCAGCCTTGTCTTAGGTCCTCTGTCCCTGCAGGGGCCCTCAGATCCACCTCGGCCTTAGGGCCATGGGTGGAGGGACACCTGCCTTTTACCTCTCTCACTCTGCCAGGCCCAGGGGACAAGGAGACATTCACTCATCACCATTCACTGGGCACCTGCTGTGTTACAGGCCCTGGATTGGGCACAGGCAGTGGGGAACTAGACAGATAGGGTCTCAGCCCAAGGAACAGGGCAGGCATACTGTGGCAGGATCCATGCTGGGACAGTGGGAGCTCAAGTTTCCTCACTCCACTTGGAGATCTGGGAGACCTCCCACGGCAGGTGATGTCATAGCAGAGACCTGAGTGCTGAGTAGAAATTAAGCCAGGCAGGGTGGGGGCTGAGTGTTCTTGGGGCAGGAAACCAAATGGGCAGAGGAAAGAAGGGGACTTGTGAAAGCTGTAGGTGGGGGATGTGTCAGAGGGCACAGTGGTGCCATGGCAGAGATGGACAATACAGAAGGGGAGCTGCCCAAGCCAGCTTGGGTTGTGGCTGCTCTGAGATGCCTATGAGACCCCTTGGGAACCAGGCTTTAGGCACCTCCCTTTCTTGTGAGGAGGAGCTGGAGGAGTTTTCCCAGCTTTCTCTGCTGTGTGGAAGGTGTGGCCATGGCCATGGAGTCTAAGCTCACACCCCCTCTCTCCTACAGGTTTCCGTCCCTGGGGCACGACCATGCAGCTAGGCCTGGCCCTGGTGCTAGGGGTGGCCCTGTGCTTGGGATGTGGCCAGCCCCTGCTGCAAGCCCCTGAACGCCCCTTCTTGGTGCTGTGGAATGTGCCCTCAGCACACTGTAAGGCCCGCTTTGGTGTGCACCTGCCACTAGAGGCCCTGGGCATTGCAGCCAACCGTGGCCAGCGTTTCCACGGCCAGAATGTCACCATCTTCTACAAGAACCAGCTCGGCTTCTATCCCTACCTTGGGCCGAGGGGCACAGCTCACAACGGGGGCATCCCCCAGGCTGTGCCCCTTGACCGCCACCTGGCATGGGCTGCCTATCAGATCCGCCACAGCCTGCAACCTGGCTTTGCTGGCCTGGCAGTACTGGACTGGGAGGAATGGTGTCCACTCTGGTCTGGGAACTGGGGCCGCCGCCAGGTCTACCAGACAGCCTCCTGGGCTTGGGCACGGCGGGTATTCCCCAACCTGGACCCCCAGGAGCAGCTCTACAAGGCCCGTATCGGCTTTGAACAGGCAGCCCGTGCACTGATGGAGGACACACTGTGGCTAGGCCGGGCACTGCAGCCCCATGGGCTCTGGGGCTTCTATCGCTTCCCGGCCTGTGGCAATGGCTGGCATGGTACAGCTTCCAATTACACGGGCCACTGCCATGCAGCCACCCTTGCCCGCAACACCCAACTGCATTGGCTCTGGGCCGCCTCCAGCGCCCTCTTCCCCAGCATATACCTCCCACCCAGGTTACCACCTGCTCACCACCACGCATTTGTCCGATACCGCCTGGAGGAGGCCTTCCGTGTGGCCCTCGCTGGGCACCCACATCCCCTGCCTGTCCTGGCCTATGCCCGCCTCACACACCGGAGCTCTGGGAGGTTCCTGTCCCAGGTGAGTGAAAACTAAAGTCTAGGGGTCTGACTGGGGAGGCATGACATTCTCTGAGGGCCTGAGAAGCCACTCAGAGGCTCAGGGCCAAGGGGCCCTCCTCTAGGGGTGGAATCGGATCATGGCAGTGAGCCATGAAAGTTCTTGAAGGTGGAGGTAGGGCCAGATGGAGCTGGCCAGCCCAGCCCTGGCTTAGCAGCTCTCTGCCTCCAGGATGAACTTGTGCAGACCATTGGTGTGAGCGCTGCACTGGGGGCAGCCGGCGTGGTGCTCTGGGGGGACCTGAGCTTCTCCAGTTCTGAGGTGATCATTGCCCCCTCCAGCCTGCCACACAGCCCATGCTGGGGTCCCAGAGATGGGGAAAGACCATGTTAGGGCCATGGAGCAGAAGCATTGATACATCCCTTCCCTCTCCTCAGGAGGAGTGCTGGCATCTCCGTGACTACCTAGTGAGCACCCTGGGCCCTTATGTGATCAACGTGACCAGGGCAGCCATGGCCTGCAGTCACCAGCGGTGCCACGGCCATGGCCGATGTGCTTGGCAAGACCCAGGACAACTGGAAGTCTTTCTGCACCTGGAGCCAGATGGCAGCCCTGGAGATTGGGAGTCCTTCAGCTGCCGTTGTTACTGGGGCTGGGCTGGCCCTACCTGCCAGGAGCCCAGGCCTGAAGAAGCAACATAAAGCCAGGAGTCACCTGCCTCTGACCTTCATGTTCCTGCTGCCATCTTTCCAGTCCTGGAGGGAGGACTTTGTCCCACTCTTGTTCTATTTAGCTTACAGTCACTTCTCCCATGCACACACCCCACTTCCCATGGGATCCCTGGGGAGTGGAAGAGGCCAGAAAAAAACATACTGTTTTAAAACTAGAGGCCCTCTGAGATCACCTCATCCCTCCTGACAAGAAAGCAGCCCCAGGAAGAGTCAGTGTTCCAGAAGGTTAAGGTTGCCAGCCCAGGGCTCTGTTCTACACCTCACTGCGTCCATGGAGAGGTCACAGGAGACCCGTCCAGGGGCAGGTGGGCCCCCGAGGAGATCTTGGCTAAGATCTTTAAGTGCTAAGCTGTTGTCTGTAATCTGCTTTTATCATAAAGTTACTTTTTCTTGCACTGCCTGAGGTTTGGCTGTTCCCCAATTCTACCAAACCCACCCTCTTCCTGTCGCGAGCGTCCCGCTGCAAGTACCCAGAAATGCCGGTCCTGCGTCGTGGGCAGCTACAGAGTTAACGACTACACGTGTTGGGCGAGGGGGTAGGAACGCCGCAAGGCATTGTGGGTGCATAGTTCAGCTAGAGCGTCGAGATCGGAA